ATTGACTTCCGACTTGGATCTTGCATAGACGATTTCCATTTATTTTTTATATTAAATATTATTTGTCAGAGATTTGGCGAAGTGCAGTAATGATTTATTATTCAGCAAATCATTACTCAAATGATTTATTACTATCACAGTAATGATTTAGGATATAATGTAATGACAATATTTGTAAATCATGACGGTTAATGCTGCCTGCATAGTTAGTAGGCCTATATCACCTAGCTTTTAAAATATACCTAGTTTTTTTGTTAATCTACATGGAATTAAACTAAGTTATTCAATTCATTCATAAATTACATGTCTACTGAAGGTGAAACAAACAAACAAACAAGATGTGTTTCCAAGGTTTTTCTTTAACTATAACAGTATTACACAACTTGACAATTACTTCATAATTAGAAAGATATATATACAAAAAAACTACCTTTGATGTCTGCAAATTCTTATTACCAGAATTTCGAAGCCATTTTAGAACTTTTTTAACAAATGCTATGTATTTTTATGATTATCTAATACATTACCATAATATTTTAGTGAATATATTTTTTAAATTTATTTGATTTCTTTCAGTAGAGTAGTTAATTATGAGCATTGCTTTAAATATGGAATCTGTGCACTGGGTTGCCCGTGTGTTGGGTCTGGCCAGTGCTGTGGCCTCCTGTGATGCTCCTCTGGGTCTTTCGGTCTTTTATTCCTTCGTGCTGTTTTAACTAGTTATCGTTTGACAGTCTATAGAGATGTCTGCCAAGGGCCTCTTTGGCTCCGATTTTAGTCTCCATCTCGATACCTCATCAGCTGCTTGCCCTTTGCTCCTTGCCTTTGGGCTGTTGTCCTTTTGGTTTGACTCCCTAGGCCTCTTGTTTGGGGAAACCTTGGTTATTTTTTAGTATCTCTGATTGTGGGCTTCAGCTCTCTGGTCTGGTGGCTGTGGGTCCCAGAGTTGTTAGCTCTGGGCGCTCTAGTCTCGTTTTCTATGGATGTGGGCTCCTGGTGTCTGTCACATTGGTTCTGCCCTCAAGTTTCTTCTGCCCTGTCGGCTGGAGCTGTACCCTTGCCATCAGAATCGACAGCTCAGCTCCTCGAGCAGTGGTGTGCAGTTTTGATCCCTGTGTATTCCAGTGTGTACAATGCGCGGCCTCCTGTCCTCCTTGGATGTTTTTCGCCAGTAAATGCATAGTCGTCTGCACTTTTTTTTCTTTTACTTTAGATTCCTTGAGTTATTCCCGTCTGTAAATGGACTCTATTTCCTTTTTTTCCAGAGGATGGGAGGGTTGTTTGTACCTTGGCTGCCATTTCCTTGGTTCCAGTGGCAGCGGTTGAACCATACTGCTATTTAAGGTCACGACGGTTGGCTGTCAGCCTGTGAATCTCCTAGAAGGTAGTTTTTTTTGGGGGGGTGGAGTGGAGGGGGGGACCTCTTCGGGGTTGAAATTTCAGGATATTTTGGGCTCTGCCCTCTCACATTCCATCCAGCCCGTTCCGCTGTATATCTGTCGGCTGGGATTTGTCCTTGGATATTGCCTTGTGTGTGTGTGTTTGACGGGTCTGTGGCTGTTTTATTTAAAAACAAATCTAGAGATTCATGCTACACTTCGGCTGCCACTGAGAGTGTAATCTTTGTGTGTCCCAGACGCTGCTCGAGTATTTGTGTTTTTTTATCCTGTCCCTTGTTCTTCAGTTTCTAGCCCCTCTTTTTCCAGGTATTCCGGCTGGTTGTTCTGTAAAGCTTTCTGGATGTTTGTCCATATTTCCGTGGTGGTGGTGTGGGCAGCGTTCTTTGCTGCTTTCTCCACGGTTTCTGTCAAGATTAAGGTTTTTGGCTGTCCACCAGATTGTTGATCGTTCGCTCCATATCAGATGTTCTAAGACATCAATGCTGGTGGCTCGTGAGGGAAGTGGGTGGAGGGAGCCGGTCGGCCGAGCGGACAGCACGCGGGACTTGTGGTCCTGGGTTCGATTCCAGGCGCCGGCGAGAAACAATGGGAAGAGTTTCTTTCACCCTATGCCCCTGTTGTCTAGCAGTAAAATAGGTACCTGGGTGTTAGTCAGCTGTCACGGGCTGCTTCCTGGGGGTGGAGGCCTGGTCGAGGACCGGGCCGCGGGGACACTAAAAGCCCCGAAATCATCTCAAGATAACCTCAAGAAGGTGGCCTGGGATCCTTGCCCATCAGCTAGCGGCCAGGATGGTTAGGGCTACACTTGTTACCATTGGCAAACTATGATTTCATATTGTTTTAACTTTCAAGCAGTGGTTTTTGTTATTTTTTGGTCGGTTTACCTCAGTTTTGGGTAGATATGATCCACATGTTTACCCTCACTTGCTAGAGAGCCAGATTCTGGTACTGGCTCGTAAGTGACCAGCGAGGGTCTGAGGCCTGGGTCAGTCATTAGGCTTGGTGAGGCCGGTGCGCAAGCACCAAAGAGCTTCCAGACAATTTAGTTTCCTTACATTCAGCAAGACTTGGTTTTGAAGCTCTACAATGTTGTCCTTGAGCAGGCTCTCATATGCATCTAGGTCTCAATTAGTATTAGATGCACATGGGGGCAAATGGAGTAAATACAATATCCCCGAAACCGTCCCGATCTGTCCACTATTCTAACCTAGAACCTTTCGTTTGCAACTAAAGCGTTAACCTCTTACAGCCGGTTTTTTTCAATATTTTTTCTGTATATATTTTTTTGACAGGCGTGACCCAGAACTGGGACCCCCACGAGCGTCTTCCAGTAGCCAGTGTGCGGGAGATGCTCACCCGGTACTTGGATATCACTACACCACCAACACCAAATTTCCTCAAGCTGCTGGCCGAGTATGCTTACGACAATGACCAGCGCACTCGTCTCGATCACCTCGCGAAGGTAGGCGCTTACATAGTAACAATGAGAGTTAACATTAATTATAACTTGTGATGAGATAACAGAAATATATTTGTTACTGCCCGAAACGCTTTGCGTAATAGTGGCTTTAGCCATTGTATGTACTAGCTCTATCTATAAAGCCATCAATGTTTTGTATCTCACCTTGTATGTATGTTCTTTACCTGAATAAACGATTTGATTTGATATTTGATTGTTAAATTGAATTATCGGTATGTAATTGTAGAGTGAGACTTTGGTTAGAAGACACATAAAATGCTTTTTTTCTCTCTCCCCTTTTTCCTCCTCTGCCGCACACGTACATTTACGTTTACAGTAGAGTGAAGGCGGGGAGGGAGGGGCCCACTGGGAAGCGTGTCAAGGAAAACCCAGCACTAGACGCCGCCAGAGTAGCAGGCGCCGGCCCTGTCAACGAGAGGAGCAGTAGCGTCTTCGCCTGCTGCTTTCTCTCTATGGTGTGGGTGCCGGAAGCCACTGAGCGACCGGGGACAAGGAAGAAAGATGTCGGTGACGGGTGTCGCGAGCCCCAACAGATGACTCTAAAGCAGTATACGGCGCTAGGACTGTGACCTGCGCCGGTCGGACTGACTGACATGTCATGTCAGTCCGACATCACAGACCTGTTATTGTCTCACAGTGGGTGTTGATCTCCCCGCCGTTTATCCGCTTTCTCCTTTCCCACGGCAATTGGGTGCGGCTCCCAAGGCTACCCTCTGCTGGATATGTATCATAAGTTTTACATATTGTTGCCTTGGAGAAGGAAGAGCGAGTTGTTGAGGATATTAAATTGGTAGTTGGCTAATGTGTTTATATTGATTTTGATGGATGTTTTGCGTAAACTAATCTTGTGGGTTTTGGTAAGGTCTTATATACAGGGACAATCAATTTTAGGTTGGAATATATCTTTGCACAGTCAGTTTACTTGCTTCAGACTGATCCCCTAGGAAGCCGCCTACTTTCATAAACTTCTTGATGTGATAGAAGCATCATTCTGTAAGTCTCGTATCTTGGCATCTTTGTTATCTTGATGCCTTGCATTATATGGGGTTGGGGGTTTTTCCGTTCATCTTCTATCAAGAGATTGTATCTTGAAAACTGTGTTCCATCGCTTTAGGATCTTCACATGGTCCCTCCTCGTGGTCCCTCCTCGTGGTCCCTCCTCGTGGTCCCTCCTTTGATAGAGGTCAAGCAAAGGGTGGCTATCCTATCTTGAGGTTATGTCGAGATGATTTTGGGTCTTAGCGTCCACCAGGACCAGGCCTCCTTTTTTGTTACACATCCCCAGGAAGCAGCCCGTAACAGGTGTCTAACTCCCAGGTACCTTTTTACTGCTAGGTGAACAGATGCATCAGGGTGAAAGAAACTCTTCCCATTTGTTTTTGCCTCCGCCGGGGATCGAACCCGGAACCTTAGGACTACGAATCCCGGGCGCTGTCCACTCATCTGTCAGGCCCCTATAGAGACATGATTCAGTAAGCTCAAGGTGTTATAAGTAATACCATCCTCATCAGGGGCAGTTTATTTCCCTAATTATGTTGTCAATTCAAAATGGGTTATAGCAAACTGATCTGTTAAATCCGATGAGGAACTTATTTTAATATTAAAGTTAGATAATTTTGGTATTTAAATGCTGCTGTATGTCTGTGGGTAAGGAAGATATTTGAGAAACTAAACCATTGACCTAAGAACATATTAGCATATTCTGCTGAAGTATGATGCTGAACTTGGGTGGAAGGCTTGGTCGAGCTACACTTCAGCTCGTTCTGTAATAATAGGATCCTCTGTCAACGAGTAAGAACGATTGTTCTTTTTATTTTCCCTTAATTTAACCAAAATAATATATTAACCAGTAATGGTACTGACAAGATCATTGTCAAAGTGGTCCACTGATACAGGTTCAGTGGACAGTGGAGCCAATGTACCACTTGTGTATGTGAGCCTTAAAGTGTGGTTTAAGATTGTCTGGAAAAGTTCATTTTAACCCTGGGATGGTAATTGGAGCTAATATCCACTACAGTGTGTTCACAATATATTGCAAAATGATCACTTACTAGTTCCGGGATGAACCTAACTTCTATGTTGCTATCTCCTAGGCTGTACCCAATCATATAATCCAGCCTACCTCCCAATAAATGGGTCTGTTTATCGGTATCGTACACAATAATATTATGATCAATAAGGTGTTGACCAGACCACACACTAAAAGGTGAAAGGACGACAACGTTTCGGTCCGTCGTGGACCACAATCGACTTGAGAATGGTCCAGGACTGACCGAAACGTCGTCGTCCCTTCAGCTTCTAGTGTGTGGTCTGGTCAACATTCTTCAGCCACGTTATTGTGACTCATCGCCTGCATGATCAGTAAGGTATTTCAAGAAGACTTTTCCATTAATGTTACACTGAACATCACCAAGAGCAGTGTGACGAGTCAGTCACTCATACATAACACAGCTGTGTTGCCTGTAGGCTTCGGTAGCAGGTCTAGTTCGTGTATATATTTTATACAGTAAGAAATGGCTATTTGCAGTTTGTAATAAAAAATTTGGTAATATATACTACTGTGATTTTTAATTAATTCAGATTAATCCACTCTTAACATATGTGACTAAACCACATATTTAACTGTTGTTGTATGCGGTATACCCAGGTATCTTGTGTATGTGGTATACCCAGGTATCTTGTGTATGTGGTATACCCAGGTATCTTGTGTATGTGGTATACCCAGGTATCTTGTGCGCGCGGTATACCCAGGTATCTTGTGTGCGCGGTATACCCAGGTATATTGGATGGAACTTTCCTGACGGTTATGGACATGACAATATTGTGTTGACAATATTTGTCACAATAAAATACATCTCAAAGGGATAGTAGCTTAGGTTATTTCTACCTTAACGGGGGGTGTCCGTGAGGGAGCAGTGATTACTCTTAACACTATTCTCCATGAAGATTTGACACTCGTGTTCTGTAGTTAGGTACAGTGGGCACAGCAGCTGCAAGGTAGTCACTCGCATCACTACTGGTGCTGGGAGAATGTACTTTATCACTATCGCTAACGTGACAAACTTCGCCACTATCACCGGGCTGATTCGTCTCTAATGCGTTGATTTTACTTTCCAATTCAATAATTTTATTTAAACAATTTATTTCTTCTGCGTCTTTGTCTGCTTTAGTTCGACAATACTTGGAAACTGCTTACTAGAGGTGTTACCAAGAGCGTCCTGCAGAGAGCCTCCAGCAGCTGGGCCAAACACCGCTGGCTTTCTATCTTAGTCAAGGAAGACTTGATTGTTTGCAGTCACGATGCCGAATATTTACGCCTTCAAGGAAACACCAGGGGCAACTTTCTGGTCGGAGGAGAGGCTACCTCACCGTCCTCAGAGACAGGGCGGGGGGCGGTCCTGATGAGGACACAACCTCGTGTCATGATATTCAGCACAAGAGCCCACACAGTCCCGTCGACAGTGCTTAGAAACATGAGTACCGTGAAAATCATAACAGATAACGACACTCAAGGTCTTACAGAACTTAGTAGGTTGAAACTTCCATAGTAGTATTGTTAAGGGGGAGGTTCATTGTCTTTTCAGACAATGACGATCCTATTGAGAGGTTCACTATCCTTGTATATCCGTCTTGTCTTGTAGTCCCCATAAAGATCAAAAGCTTTCTCAGCAGAAAACACTGGGGTAACTGGTAACAAGATATTCTTTAAATTTTGTAGGGCAGTTGGTAACATCTCTGAAAATCATATTACCAATCTCGCCTTCGAACAATAGTGGAATCTTGTTTACGTGACACATAGATGTTGGGAGATGTCAATCTAGGTCGGACTAAATGCAGTAATGTTCTGGAAAAGTCGTTAGAAAGTTATTTTAGCCACACCAGCTTTGGCTTGGGTCGTTCCAACTGGGAATGCCAGGCGTACAGTCAGCACGGGGAGCAAGAAGAGGCCTGGGTGGGCGTTGTTCTTGCTGTGTAGGCCTACCATCGCTTACGTCGCATTTCGTCTCGTGGGTTCCGGTGTTTCAGGGATCATTGCTAATTATATCCTCCCCATTTGCAGTCTGCACGCCTCGAATTTCTAATCTCTTTCCTCGATTGTTAAAATTGCCGTTCACGATAGTTCTCCAAATTTCAATGTAATTTTCTCATCGTTTGACTGCAAAACACGAAGTCAAACAAAATATTGTTTGTTATCGAGCCGCAACATATTCTTCGACGAGAGACTCGGGTTCCATTGCTTGGAGATCATTTGGGTTACGGAACCCAGCAGGACGACTTCACTAAAAAATTGAAGGGTTTTCCTACAAATCACAGCAGTACAAAAGAAAAGGGAACGTATTTCCCCTTTACCTTCCATTCTGTCCAAATCAGACAAAATAGGATGAACCTGAAGATCCCACAAATGTGGGCTGCAAAGAGTCTTAAAACGCGAGACCAGAGGATGATCATCACTGTGGCACTGGGTAACCGCCACAGCCTCGGGAGAGAGTCGAGGACTTGAGAACAGAGTACATAATCACCAACTCCTTTGTTCAGATGCGGACTCGTGTCAGCCTGACGCCATCAGTGATGGCTGGTGGCACGGTTTCAGCCATAGTTGGTGTTGGTCGGGGGCTATATAGATAGAAATTGAACCCAGAAATGCTTTCTGAAAGTTTACCGAGAAAGTCTACTTTTCTAGACCAGCTTGGAGAGCACCCAACGATCTCGGGACAAAAAAATTGGAGTAATCACAAATATTTATATTTTTTGTGTATATAAATATTTTGTCTGTTTAAAATGCTTTAATTTGTGTTAACACAAACATGAAATTATTAGTTTATTTTTGGACTTCTCGCATGGTACCAGTACTTTCTAGCTAATAAAGATTTCTACTTCTGATACAGGATCCTCAGGAATACGAGGACTGGAAGCACTTGAGATATCCACACCTTAAAGAGGTTCTCGAGGAATTCCCCAGTGTGATTCTGGATGCAGGACTCCTGCTGACCCAGCTTCCTTCAATTGGAGCCAGGTTCTACTCCATCAGCTCCTCTCCAGATGCTCATCCAGAACAGATTCATGTTACGGTCGCTGTTGTCCAGTATAAGACGGAGAGTAAGTCCTCATTGTCTTTACAGCTTCTAGAAGATTTTTATAGTTAATAATGCCATTCAGTTTTTTTTTTGTTTTTTTTTGCTCATTTCGTCGCTAAATACTCTCCAAAACCTCCAGTTGTCAAACACATGCATGAATCTGAAATATATATGCATACTAATGAAACTTGTGTAGGGATAAGCCATCATTAATCCCAAAGTCCTGGTTGGAGTTTTACTGGATTAATTATACTCTTGTCAGCTTTTTGTTCACATTTAATTATGTAAACAAAAAACATAAAGACGAAACTTTCTCTTGTTTGTTACTTTCGACACGGGTAATTACTTCCTAATTACAGTCTCTGCTTGAAATATTTCGCTCTTGTTAGAATTGCTCTGCCGCTCCTGTGTATCAAGTCTAATTTGTAGGATGTCCCCTTGTAAAAAAAAAAAAAAAAAAAAAAATATAACCATCTTTAATGTATACGACTCATTACTGAAACCATCTATTACAACAAAGTCATCACTGTAACCATCTTAATTGCCCAGGCATCACTGGGTACCCCTTCTAGGCTGTGTACAGATTCTGGGGGCAAACAATATTTAATCCTCCTGTAGAAAATAATATTCTGGATGATCTTTAGTGAGGATGAAGTCTGGTATTTAGTGAGGTCAGGTGGTGGTATGAAGGGACGGGGGTCATGAAGGGAGGTCGCCTCAGACCCCCTCCTATCCGCCATTCCCCAACCTTCAACCAGTCACCCTACACAAGTTTGCGCTCCCAAGCGTCTGGTCTCCAACCTCACGCATATCATTTTTTTTCATGTATATAAACTTTGACCTTTCATAAGATAGTTTATTACAAGACAACCGGGGGGGGGGGGACTACTAAATTTGTTTGTAACCAATTTATAATTTCAATTGCATTCCATTAGCAGCCATACACAGTGGCACTTTGTAAAGGAATCTATAAATTGGTCTTGGTATCTCATAGAAGTTTCTCTTAATATAACAGACGTACTACTGTTCCTTTCACCGGAAACGTTACAACATACGTTCTACCTTCTCGTGATCGGTATAATTAGCCATCAGTGTGTTTTATTTCCTAAAATATGCTAAACTGACATTATAAGTGTGTGTAAGATGTATATAAGTATATACATCTACCTATTGGTGCAGACTTCTGGGGTGACCACGTTGATACGACTCGCCAGATATAGTTACACATTATTGTTCAGTTTTATAACATTTATTTAACCTGTATTTAACGGAATTGTAATTGTGAATCGCCATAACATTTTGCGTGCTAATTCACCATAATCTGCCTGTATTATTGAGCAGCATGGCATGCTCCTGTCAAATCGACTTTTCCCCAGCACCAGAAATGTCTTGGATTAGTTTTTGCAATCATAATACAACATTCTTTTTATTATTTAGATGTATTTAAATGTTAAAAGTAATTATGAAAATAAGATCAACCGTTTTAAGTATTTATATTTTTATTGCTGTTCAGTTCTTGAACCCATTATGCTATAAGTCTGTTACATATACATTAAATTATGTTAACTAGTTTATCAATAACGCAATTTGCCTATGTACGTTACAGAACAATATGTTCTGTAACGTTACAGAAAAATATGTTCTGTAACGTATTTCACTAACACTCGTAGGATGAGTATGGGGTGCAAAAGAAATTAACTAAACTTTTAAAATATTAAATGAAGATCTAGAAGTATTGTCAGCAATAATGAAATAACAAAATTTAAATACAACTGAAGGCTTGACAATTAGTGTTTTTCTTCACATCTGTCAGTTGCATGAAGCTTTTGCTATTAAAATATTTCTTTAAGTATTATAATAACAAAGCTGATTAAATTACATTAACTAGGGAGACCTAGATACACACGTTTATACCTAAATAGCAGACTTGACCTTTTACAGATGGAAGAGGTCCACTTCATTATGGCGTTTGTTCCAATTTCTTAAAGGAGGTGAATCCGGGTGACCACATTGAACTTTTTGTTAGAAGGTGAGTTGTTGGTTTGTTCAATGTTTACAGGTGTTCATTAGTTGTAGGAATATGTGAATCTATAATTGGGTAGATTAAATAACTCGACAGCTGTAGTTTAGAGAAAAAATATTAACAGTAAGTTCATGAGGGTGGTGAGTAAACAGGACCACATGGGTGAAGGGATGTTAGCTGAGGGGGAAACAAATACATGGAATGAAGAGGATACTGCACAGTATTGAAAAAGATTGTTCCATATATATGGGTATATTTGACAGCGTTCCAGACAAGCAGAGGTCTTGAAGTTCAAATTGATCGACGAGATCAGGGTAGTGCTTGAAGACCGCAGCAAGAGAGACTAGTGACAGTAAAGTAAAAGGAGTTTAAGAGAAAGAGGACTAAGAGCATAGAGCTGGTTGTTACCTTACATTTTATAGTATCGTGTAGTTTAGCAGAGACCTTATTGTACCCTTTTAACGGTAAATAGGTATCTGGGAGTTGGACAGCTGCTACAGGCTGCTTCCTGTGGGGGGGGGGGGGGGGGTTTACAAAAAGGAGGCCTGGTCGAGGACCGGGCTGAGGTAACGCTAAGCCCCAAAATCATCTCAAGATAACTTCAAGATACGCTTGATTACATTGATAAATTTAAGTAAACGGGATAGAAACCTGAGCCAGTTCTCAGGGTAAAGTGACTAGGATACCCCGTACACACCCTCCCTCAAACTATCTGGATGAGGTAAGGTAAGAAAGTATGGCATCAAGGGAAATGCCATAATTCATTGTAACTTTATAACATTTGGAAGGGATGAAGATTGGGATTTGGGATAAGACAGAGGAATGGAATGGTGCCCAATCCCTTGGACAGTTGGGGATTGAACGCCATCCTTGCAAGAAGCCAGACCATTGCCCCATCATCCTGTCCATTTATAGAGATATTTGTGGTAGTCTGGAAGCATATTATGGTTCCAGTATTAATCTACTTGTCAACTGGCAAGTGAATATTTTCCCTTAACAGAGAATATTCTCAAGTTGTAACTTCATTGCATAATAAATCGTTGGTTTAAAATATAAAAAGTCTAACTAGTTTTCTTTGAAACGGTCTGAAGAATTTGGTTTTCTTTAAATAAAATTCTAGGAGATACTCAAATTGTTTTCGAATTTCATATTTCACATGTTTGAGAATAATGCCCCATACTAACGTAACCAAACGTAATGAACCCTGACCTAACCTTAACCTAACATAACCTTAACCTGGCCTAACCATGGATAGGAAGTAGATAATAGCACTAATTTCATAGTGGCCTTGATGTAACAACCTCCAGGGGTACATCCTCCAAGAGGACAAGTTAGAATGCTTCAGTTTGAGATGTTGAATCACTTTATTATGTTTACCAGTGCCACAAGTTTCCACATGCCACAAGACCCGAGTGTTCCAGTCATCCTGGTGGGGCCGGGCACTGGAGTGGCACCCTTCAGAGGCTTCTGGCACCACCGCCATCACTTAGTGCGGCAAAATAACGGTAAGTTGTACTCTTAAACAGTGTTACATGGCCATACTAACGCTAGCTCGGTGGTAGTACCCAGCTACACTTGTGCTAGGTATTGCCACTAAACTAGTATCTTTATTTATTTGCTAACTTTTTTCACATTCAACACAATTTTTAGCATCATAGGGTCAGATGACTTGCTACAACTTTAACATGTTAAGGGACTTTTAACACATTAATGTTCTTTGTTTTAGTAGAAAAAGCCGGTCAGATGACTTTGTTCTTCGGTTGTCGAACACGTGCTCTTGACCTGTATGCTGAAGAGAAGGCTGCCATGCGCCAAGCTGGAGTCCTCACTCACACCTACCTCGCACTCTCCCGGGAGCCCACCATCCCAAAGGTAAACACTAGTTTCAACCACAATTTACCATAAAAAGTTTCAATAAAGAATATTGATAAAAACCTTCATATAACGGCTAATATAAACAGTACTTAAAAACAATTATACTTGGAAAAAAATATTACGAAATGTAATTAGGGAACTTTTTTTTAGGAGATATAACAAATGATTCTTCAATTCACAGACGTATGTTCAAGACTTGTTGGTGGAAGTGGGTGCGGAAGTGTTTAAGCAAGTTGTGTTAGAGAAGGGGCACTTTTACGTGTGTGGGGACTGTACCATGGCGGAATGTGTGTACCAGAAGCTAAAGACCATTGTCCAAGAGCACGGGAGATTCACGGACCAGGAGGTAGAAAATTTCATGCTTCAGATGAGGGTAGGTGTGCTTCATTATGTTGCATCAGAGCAAAGAGTTCACCACACCAAATCTTTTGCATCACGCAGGAGGGTATGGTGAGCATACTTCGTGCCACAAGTATAAGAGTCCGTTGTGCACCCCATACTCATCCCGAGAGCAGCAGTTTGTGCCCCCAGTACTCAATCTGTGAGCGGTCGTGCGCCAAAAAAAAAAAAAAAAAATGACGGTCATGATCAGACCTGGTGGATGTTTGACATTGTTTTACAGTTTATCTGCACATCTTATAATTATATTGATAGCTAGTAACAAACTTCTCGCACTGCTACTGCTGTGGATGACAATGTATTATTACTATTGGAAGTCATTTTGATTCTACTTGTAATAACCCATTATTTTAAGGTAAAATGTTGTTCATTATTTTTGTACTCGCAGCTTTTAATTTCCTTAAATATATTTTCTTGATTGAAAGCGAAATATGAAAGTGCAAAAATTTCAGATATTTTATCATGTATAATAAAATTTGCTGTGTTACTCTAGGGGCAAAGTGCTTGTACCTCCTAAGTATTATGTCTATCATTCCATTATCTCGCATCCAAACAATTTGATGTGATACACAACTGAAACTGCCAGATTCTTGTAGACAAGATCTATTTAAGCTACAACCATATTTCAGACTATTGATTTTCGTTCATGTCTCGAACAGGTGTTTGCCACTTTTCACTGACACGTTAAGCCTGATGTAATAAACCATAAACAGATAGTTGTACACACGCACAGGGCGGACGATACGCCCGGTGAGTAACGTAATGAGTGTCAAGGTTAAAGGACCAGAACACCGGGGCCCAGATGGGAGCAGAAAAGGTGAATGGGTACGACATCCAGGGTAGACCTACTGCAATGTAAAACTGCCAACCTCTGTGGTCGAATGTTTAATAACTCTCTACTCTATAGTGTGTGAACAGATATCTAACCCCGTCCACGGAGGACAGAAGAAACTCCATATATACTACGTGGCATTGTATAAATGATTAACCACGTCTGTGGTTTAAAAAATCCAGCGTTGAATGTAATGAAACGCCATTTTATGGACGAGACCCGGAGGCTCCCCAGAGCAATCCAGGCAGATATGGATATATTACTTTGACATCGGTCAATGTGAATGGAGTTCTAGGCCTACCGGGGTCTACAAGCCAGAACCTGGCCTCTTCAGAGAGGCACGAGGAGCAATGGCCTGTAGAAATGCACATGTAGTTATGGAGCATTCTGTATTTGCCATCGACTGGGTCAGGCACTCAGAAAGGTAAGCATCCCCAAAAAAACCTATTCAGGTTGAAACTACTACTGAAAGTCAAACGAGTGGCCAGAACAACCCAAATGAAAATGAGCAAACGAGCATGAAGTCACCATGTCGCCGCACCACTTGTCTGTGCAAATTCCCCCCCCCCCCCACTTCCCAGGATGGGGAAGGGGGAGCCTCAGACCCTTGCGCTGGCGATCTGCCCTGCAGTTCTGAGGCTGGATATCAAAACATGCAAAAAACCGCCAACTGGAGGGAGGGAGGGAGGGTTGCCGGGGAGCTTACTGGCCTCGCCCAGAAAATGGCATTTCATTACATTCAACACTGGTTTTCTGGGGGAAGCCCCTTTGGCTCCCCAGAGTTACGTCACCAAAGAGAAGGAAAGAAGGGATGCACCTGGGAGCCATACGCCACACGCAACTCAAATCGAAAGCAAGACAACCAATGGCACAGAAGGAACCAGCAAACAACCCGAAACCCGAACCTAAGCGCAGGGAAGAAGGGAAACTGGAACAACCCAAAGTGCAACTCTGAAAACAGAAGCCGAGGCACGCATACAACGGCAGAGAACCACAACCTGACAACACAAGATGCACCCCTGGCCGAACCAACCAGGCATCAACAACCCAAGGACCCTTCCAGAAAGCAGATGTCTCGGTCATCACAGAAAAGGAGGAGATGGCTACAAATCAACTAACCAAACACCATAGCCAAAAGAGAAGAAACCCCTGCGCTGGAGAAGCGCATGAAGCTCCCCGACCCGACCCCCCCACCCCCCCACCCCCCCAAGAGGCTAATGCCAACAGGAAAAGAGCCAGAGAGAAAGTAAACCGTAGGGGTCGCCCCAAACCGAGGAGAAGAGGTAAGAGAGCACTGTCCCATGACGAGGACGGCTCAGATGGTGCATGAGCAGGCCGGGGGTGAAACAACACCTGAGACAGCTTGTGAAATGGCGCAGAAGGAACATCAATGCCGAAAACAAGCTGCAGCAGCTCTGCCAGTGCTGCACGATACATGGCAACAGTATGCAGCAGACGATGATGGTCCCGAAACAACCACAAGAGAAAGGACAACACAACCTTTACAGAAAGCGAAGTACACCTATGAAGAGACAAAGAAACAGAAGGACCACCAGGAAACTTCATACCATCGCCGAGACGAAGCAAGCAGGTGGGCCAAAATTAACGAACCCACCTGATCACCATTCAGATGGCGATACTAGAGTAAAAAAAATGCCAGACACAAAGACTCTGGGAGAAGATCGAACCAGCCACATAATAGACCAGACCGATCAGCTGAAAGAGGTGGAGCCATAAGAAAATCCATGGGTTCGAACACCAAGCAAGCAGCGCCTGAAACAAATGCTGGGTCTGCCAAAAAGGGGCCAAGAGGACTACTCTCCCCCGTGGTAAGTCTCCAAGCAAACTAGGACTAGGAGCAACTGCTGAACTGGGGGGAAGAGGTACAGGGACCCCCCTTCCCCCTCCACCTTGACCAGTCCTGCCGAAAGCAGCGACCCCAAGAACTTGGCAGATGAGTCACCTGAAGCAATCGGCCTCAAGGAGCCAAGGACGGCACTTGTTTGAACCCACGGTTCAAACAAGAACCACCAGAGAACAATCCAAATAGAGCCTGATCGTCGATCTGCGAGTGACCCGAACCCTCCGGAGCGACAACCGCACCGCCGCAAACGCACTTCTTTACTGATGGAAGGACAGACCCCACTGCCCCCAGCTGGCCTGGGGGCAGTGGGGTCTGGATCCCACATGCCACAAAGCCCCAGCCGAAAGATAATGCATCCGGGAACACATTGAGTGAGGGCTCGGGTAGGCGCCAAGGCACTGAACCAAAAAAAAAAAAAAAAAAACGAAGGGGAAGCTGGCGCCACAGCAGCCAATGCAAGGACCCCAGAGGCCGAACCCAACGATTGTGCGAGAGGCAGAAGGGACGTCCCCCAAGGGAACCAGAAGAACCGATGAAGCCAAACCTGACCCAGTGGGTAGACCATCGCTGCAAGTTCAGGCTCCCGCACAACCCTCGAGAAACCGCCGGGTGACCCAGGATCCCCCCAAAACAAGCGAAGGCGGGACCGCAGCCTAAGCAGAGATGCCAGAGGAAGAGACAAGAAAGCGGGTTGAGAGTCCCACACAGGGTCCAGCTAAGTCCGAACCAGACGGGGAACCAGATGGGACTTCCTCCAGTTCACCAGGAACCCGAACTCGGCGAGCTGGGAAAGAACCAAATCCTTGGCGAGCACTCTTTCGAGCAAGGGGAACCTTTTATTGTCAATCCCCCTTTCGTCACTGAACCCAATCTCGATGGACTAACGGTTCTTCAGGTGATGTTTGTGGGGCGTACACTCACGACGCACCCCTGGGGAGCCCCGGCAAGATTGGCAACCTCTCTCTCTCTAGTTGGGTGTCCTGCCTCTAATTGTGGCTCCGTGGTGGGTGTGGGGGCACATTCGTGAATGAACATCATGCTTCTCGTCTCTGTTGCAATCTGTTCCTCTTTTACCTTCTCAGGCTCGTGGGATGGGCGACCAAGCCCCCAAGTTGGACTGTGTTGGAAGACCAGGCTCTGTAGCCCCACTGCATTGAGCCCTGACCTTGCTCCTCCTTTGACCCTCCTGACTACTCCCCTTGGCTCCCCTCCCTCCTCTGTGGTTGGGTCGAGCCCCAAGCCTCCAGTGGTGACCACCTCGTCCCCTGGCACGGCTCATTCTCTGGTTGTGACTACTGCGCCTTTTTAACTCTCCTCTCTCTCTCTCTGGGGGTTCTCGACGCCGTCCTCGCCATGACCACACTCGCTAGATTCCTTCCCGTACTGATGCGTATCAAGCCTTGTTTTGTCCCACTTCATGGGCCAACTACTTTGATCTCCTCCCTCTTGATTCTATGCCTCCTGACAATTTCTCCCTCCATAGGCACCTTGTTGATTCCGTAGATGCCTCTATTACTTTCCACCCCACCCGTCTCGGTACAAGTGTCATTGCTGCTGCTCCTCAGGATGCAGCCACCCGCTTGGCCGCCTTGTCCTGCCTTGGCGAGACCCTTGTTCAGGTCTCAAAGAACACTCGGTTGAATGCAAGTGTTAGCACTATTCTCCTACAACCCCATGTTGCAACCGGTGTTCGGAAGCTCCCGGACTGCCACGAAGATATTCGGCATATCTTCTAAGCCCAGGGCCATTCTGTTCTCCTGGTAGACTCGTTTACTCATTCCCTCGTGGTCGTCGCCGTCAACCCCTTCGGGTTGTGAAGATTACCTTTGGTGGTAGGACCCTTCCACCCTGTCATTTTTGCTGGCGCCAGGCGCTCCGTCCAGTACATTCCCTCTCCTCGGCTCTGTAATAAGTGCTGGAGGTTTGGGCATGGTGCCCTCCGCTGCTCTGGTACTGTCTCTTTCTCTCCTTTGTGTGGGGGCGAAGGTCACTCTAAGTCGGAGTGCACTTCTCCCCAGGCTATGCCTCGGTTGCGGTGAGGCCCACCCTACCTTCTCCCATGCGTGTATACATTACAGGTTTGAGGCAGCCGTCTCAACTTGAAGCACTGGAAACGTTTCTTTTCCTGGGGCGAGGCGCCAAGTTCGCTGTCTCCCACCTTATGCTAACGTCTCTTATGCTCGCATGTTGTGCTCTTCCTCTCCTCGTCCTTCCCACCTTCCTCAGACTCAAAACAGTTCCTAAGCCTTGGACCCTGACACGCCCACCGCCGCCTCCT